AACAAACAAACAAACAAGCTATATAAAAACATTTTTTTCGAAAGCGATACACTGATTGCTTTTTTTTTTCAGCTGCCTGAAAACTGCCTACAACATTTTTTCTCGCACACTAATGATTTTCCTTGAACTATGAAATTCACACTCGTCTATTACTCAACCCAGATCCATTTCTTGTATGTTACTGTGTCCCTTAAAGATGGATTCTTGCTTATCGAGTTATATAGGAAAGCCAGTGACCGATTGTAATACTTACACACAGCAAAAGACCCCCAATGGATCAGTAGCAAGTCTAAAAATCGAGTTTCGTTACCTGTAGTGGGCATAGCACAGATGACCCATTGTGTAGCTTTACGCTTAACAACAAATATACAAATACAATTAAAGCTGTCGCCAGTTACACTAAATGAAACATAATCTATAGTCAGGCACTCGGGATTAAAAAAAATCCGCTATCATAAGAACAATTACGAAACATACATTGAAACATTTAACCATAATTGAGAGAAGTCATAAAGTTACCGAAATTCACAGACAGATTCAGAACGTTAACTGTTTTATACGAAATATTATACTTAAAGAGTCACATAGAACATAATCTAGCGTTATTCCTTTCGTCATTACCTATCATCCTAAACTGAAGAATCTTTTGGCATTCCTCAAAGACATTGTCATCTTCAACAACTTAACAGCATATTAAAAAGGCTTTTCCAAAAGTTTGTATTCCCCCCTTCCGAAAAACAAAAATACTTAAATAGCTAAATTCTTGTACATGCCAAAGTTAACAGCTCTTTAAGTGTTAGTAGCCCCCCTTGCAATAGCTAAAGATGCCATACTTATCAGTTTATGAAACCCACCATTACCTTTTGTGATAAAGATAATATCAACAAATATTCCATTAACAATCATATCAACTGCTCTGCCACCAACACTATCCAAACCATTCTTAGAAAAACAATAAAATAATCATATATCTTTCTTTAGAACTAAGCAAAATCGTCCCGTTTCCCCACACTTCAATCAACCTAATAATATTACTAATTAATGACTTACTCCTGATAATTATAGAAAACACAACTTAGCTGATCCTGAAGGCATAAACGTAGATCCTGGCATAACAGATCTCCGCTATCTTTGTACTCCTATTTCAGATATCATTAACTTCATTCGATTTACTCCACTATTTTCCAACATTTACCCTTATTCTTAGATTTCTTAACAGCCTTACAAATTTATATACCTATATATTTCTTCGCTTTTTTATGCCAGCTAGTATTTTAATAATTATATTCCTTATATTAAATATATGTATTGTGGTAAACCTTTTACTTCATATGTATCTGTTTGTGCTGCTTTAATTGACCTGTAATTTTTAGTTCCCTTTCTATGCACTACTGTTTTTATTACTTTTACATTTTTTTTGTTTTTCTGTTCATCGCCTTTTCTTAGACAGTTTTATTACCTTCCTATTTTATGTGTTCACTTCTTTTTAGAACTTTTACTATTCTTCTTACAATTCATGTATCTTTATATACTCTTATTTTCTACGTGCAGCTTGGACTGACAATCGTATAACAATTTTGTAATACTCAATATATGTAAAAGATTTTTTTTACTTTGTATATACATTTAGCAGGATTTTAGCTAGCTGACTCAAACCACGTTCCTTCCCTCTGAAACTTATCACTTATTCAGAAAGTTGTTTCACTTATGACGTAACATATGCACATACGCGTTTATTCTATCCCATTGGCTCATCTACATAACCATTTACATTGACGCCAAAGGCTTTTTTATTATTTATATTACATAATAACACATGTTACTCGTTCACCTCTTACTTCTGAAAAAGGAAGGTTCGCCTTCCGAAAGCGCTCGTGTTTAGGTTTTTTTTCTCTTTCTCGCTATGTTTTATCCTACGTGCTTTGCAAGGCTATAAAAAGGTTAAAAACTGAGACAAATTTCTGAAAAGCTAAAATTCTATATTTAGTAATGTGTTTTACGTTTCTTAAAGAGTTTATAGGTGCAGAAAATAGACATTTTGAACTAGGCAGTCCTTTAAAAAGTAGTTTAGATAATGTTTTACTTTTGTACGAGGAATGGTCTGGTTCAGTAGTAGGATAAAAAAATAATCACAGCGCACAAATTGTTTGACATCTTCCTAGACAAAATTAAAACGTGATAATCAACAAAAACATATCGATTTATACTTCCTGTGATCAAAAATAAAGTTGGGGGATTTACGGATTTTCTCCATCTTTTTTGAAGTACCGGATTCAAAGAACCACAGTATCTCGTATATTTCAATTTTCCAGTCCAGGCTCCCACTGAACATTAAAACTTTTATATATTCAACAACTAAACTGTTTTCAATGTCTATTTAGTTATTGTCTTAACCTATCATAATAGGACCGATACATCATCTGATACTTACGGATTCTAACAAATGAGAGAGTTTTGCGAATGCAAAATAATTTCGCCGAGCATCTCAACATGCTAAAGTACTGTAACAGCTCAAACCTCATAGCTACATTAGTGAGGCTTATTTTATTTTACATTGTTTGTTTGTTTTTTCTGGCGAAGTCTCAATGTAAGATAGGCCATAGGAAATGTTAAATTAGACTTCAGCTACTTTCAAATAACTGATGAAGTTGACTAAAGTCAGTTTAGAGAAGGCCCGGCATGGCCAGGTGGTTAGGGGGATCCACTCGCAATCTGAGGATCGCGGGTTCGAATCCCCGTCCCACCAAACATGCTCGCTCTTTCAGCCGTGGGGGTGTTATAATGTGACGATCAATCCCACTATTCGTTGGTAAAAGAGTATCCCAAGAGTTGGCGGTGAGTGATGATGACTAGCTGCCTTCCCTCTAGTCTTACGCTGCTAAATTAGGGACGGTTAGCGCAAATAGCCCTCGTGTAGCTTTGCGCGAAATTCAAAAACAAACAAACAGTTTAGAGACGAAGTAGGAAAACTGATCGTAACACGTTATATGTGTTGATATATACAAAGTAGGCGACTAACGAACAGGATATTGAAATGATTAATAAAAAAAATTCTCAGAGGTCCGTTCTGAGATATAACGAAGTAATATAAGAACAACTAACGTTTTCTATACTGATGAACATTCAACGTAGCCTTTACTATAATCGTTTACTTTTCTTACATTCTGTGAGGTCGTCGACCACATGAACTAAGCGAGTTTGGCTGTGACGAGATAGCAATTTTCAGAGGTTTGGCAGGCTGGCGTATACTGTTTCATTCTGCATTAGGTCGATGGAAAAACGACTGTGTTCCGCATACTGATAAACTGTCGAACATTCTGCTTCTTGCAGCTACTGGATAATTTGCTGACTCTCAGTGGATACTCTTAGCGGGAAAATATTCTCCTCTATATTATGACTGCAGATAAAAGGTGGTGTAAGGATAAGCTAGATGTCAGTGTCGTATCATTGCAGACAAAAGATGGTGTAATAATAAGCCAGATGTCAGTATCGCATGATTGCAGATAAAAGATGGTGTAATGATAAGCTAGATGTTAAGGTCGCATGAGTGAAGACAAAAGATGGTGTAATGATAAACTAGACGTTAAGGTCGCATGAGTGAAGGCAAAAGAAAGTTTGAGGACAAGCTAGTTATCAATGTCGCACGATTGCAGATAAAGGATGGTGTAATGATAAGCTAGTTATCAATGTCGCACGACTGCAGACAAAGGATGGTGTAATGATAAGCTAAATGTCAATGTCGCTTTTATACACTGAGTCTTTTGGATTTGACTAGAATTCTCACCAAACCCTCTGAGTTTTTAATAGCTTCTATTAAAAGTCTTTCACAATCAGCTGTATGGTTTCTACATATATTTTTCTAAATATCCTTATCATACCATCTGGGGTTTTAGTGTACTTTCTTGAACTTATTTCATAACAACAAATTGGCGGACTTACATCCCTAGAAACCGGGTTTCGATACCCGTGGTGGGCAGAGCACAGGTAGCCCAGTGTGAACTTTGTGCTTGATTACAAACAAAAAAACTTAACAAAATGGATCTCTAATTAATTTTATTAAAATATCTTCATGACAAGAAGGGTCTTTAGTGAATGTTACTAAAATTTCTTCTCAACTAGCTGGATCTTTAGTGGATTTTACTACAGTTTCCTCCCAATCAACTGGGTCTTTAGTGGGTTTTGCAAAAATGATCTCTCAGACAGCTGGGTGTTTAGCGGATTTTACAAAAATTATCTCCAACCAGTAGATTATACAAAAATATTTTCTCAAACAGTTGGGTCTTTAGTGGATGAAAAGAAAAATTCTCTGAAACAGCTGGGTCTTTAGTGGATTTTACAAAAAATTATTTCCTAGCGATCTAACACGTTAAGGGAGTTTTCCTAAAATATTATTCTAAATCACACAATAGATTTTACTCATTTATAAGAACATATTACCCATTAAATGGAGTAAACCTGGTAAAAAAAGAAAAAAAAAGTTGGTTAAACCTTTTCTAATTTTTGATCATTAAGAGATTCTACGGGCTCGAGGTTTAATCCAGAATCATACCCAAATCAACATACTTTCTTATTAACGCGGTTTTTGCTGGATTTGTTTTGTTCATACAACGATTTTTCTTCATATTCTACGGAGTAATTCCTGAAAGTAAATCTAACAAAAATCGTTTTATACAGTTATCCTACATAAAATATGTTCTCTTGCGATTTGAAAACCACGCTGTATTATTTTAAACATCTTAATTAAAATAGCAAAGTTGAATATTTATTTCTAGTTAATCATTAGTGTATTCAATGGGATTTTTTAATAAGTGTTTTTATTCGTATTTTGCATCTTTAAATATCTGATTCTCTCGTTTTTCCTACATTATTTTATGTATAGCATTCAAGAACTTTTTTTCTTTTTACCAAAACGAAAATTATAATGTAAACAAGCAGATGTTGCACGTATCATAAACATTGCGAGCAAAAGACTTTTAACGTCGTACGCAGCATAAACTTACCAGGATATACTGTCCTCAATACAGCCATTACCAAAAGCAATGCTCCGTAAACATGATACTTTCTTCTAGCTGTAGTAGGAGTGGAAGGTCTTAGACTTGATGATGTTATCCACATTTTAAATGATTCGGATTGTTGAAATTCTACTCTGGTGCTCTTAACACCTTTTTTCCCCCTAAAATATACAAGAAAATCGCACATATTAGCAATACTTCCCCTAGATCTAGTATCGAAACTTATGACTGATATTAAACACGTACGTTAGAAGGTAATAATATACATGCCTACAAACGTCTATCAGATGTTGCAATGTTTGTATGAAAATTGTTTAAGTTTGACTTATTCGATTTTGTCCAAAAGGAATTAACTTTTTACTGTTTTTATGATAAATTGTATATTAAAAACTTAGCATCGAAAACCCAATCGTTCTCCATTCTTTTAAAATATTCTTTAATCAAGACATTCCAAAGCACTTAGGATCAGCAAAGAAAATAGCATCAGAAAAGAAACCCAATAATCCGAGAGCTTTGGAAAATGGATAATTGATGAAGGAAAGTCCACTTTCCGAAAGCGCTCGAGCTATTAGGTTTCTTTTCTGATAATACTATATTTTAATGACGGCGTGTATCAGAGTAGACAGAGAGAATACTTGTACAGGCTTTACTATCTTCAAACTAAAACTTGGAATAAGAAACGCCTGTGATGTAAGCCTAAAATAAAAGGACGATTCAATAGCGCAGTCGGATGTTTTAGCCATAAAAAATTAAGAATTATTAACCTATTAAGATGGAATCATTAGTTAAATTACACAGCTAATTATTTCATGAAATTAATTTACAAGCAGAAAGTTTACTGAGCTTTTTTATTATCTAAAAGTAATTCTGATATCATTCATTCATTTAAAGGTAAACTTTTTTGTTTATTTTAAAATTTCGCGCAAAGCTACAAAAGGGCCGTCTGTGCATTGTTAGCCGTAATTTTTAACTGATAAACTAGAGTAAAGGTAACTAATAAATAGCACTCACTACCAACACTAGGGCTAATTTCTTTCACGACTCTTAGCTTAAGTGCGTTTTACGGCAACGGATCGCGAACCATAAATTATCAAATTTACAGTCTGGCCCAAATGTAAATTACCCACTGCATTCTTCTTTATATCAAATAGTTTGATTAAATTTGTATTTTGATGCACACAACGAGACTGAGAAAATAGCAGTTTTTTATAGTTAAACACAAAGCTACAGAATTAGCTATTTGTGCTCTGCTCACCACGGGTATCGAAACCCGATTTCTAGCGTTGTACCTCTGCAGATATACCGCTATGCCACGGGGAGGCATGTTTATTTTTTGATTAATAAACTAGCTACTTAGTTTGTATATCAATACTCCTCTATTTTTTTAAATAGTTGGCTTATTTATAATTAGAAGCTACACAAAAAAGTTTAGAAATGTTTCAACAGGAATACAACTATGTTTTCTTAATCTAAATTTATTAATTATTTGCTTGTCTTTCTTTTTCACGTACCCATTTTATAATGGCAAGTATCTAAACACAAAAGTTTCTCATTTGGTGATAAATATAGACTTCTGATGTGTCTGTCCCAAATCACCGTCAATGTAGCTTTATTAATTCAGTGTAAAATCAAAACATGTGTGGAACTATTAAGGGCTTATTCCTGTTCATTTATACTAGACCTTATACTCATAAGCCCATGAACAAAATGTGACAATTTTCTTTTCACGGAGTTCATCGATTTTCCACATGTGCTAAAGGCGAATAGTGACAACAACATTAAATGTAAGTAACTTCTGATACAAGTGGCTCAAGGAATTAGATTGGCGGTTTTCACAATAATAAAAGAAAGCTTTGATGAGCGAAAAAATACACTAGGAAACCTAGCAGTAAATGGCGGCGTCAGAAATGTTCTGTGGAAAAAATAAGAGAGCGAAGCCAAGAGTAAATAAAATAAAGTATGGAGTTAAGAGTGAAATAACAAAACTAGGAAGTCAAGAGTAAATAACAAAAGTAGAGAGTTAAGAGTAAAATAACAAAAGTATGGAGTCAACAGTAAAATAACAAAAGTATGGAGTCAACAGTAAAATAACAAAAGTATGAAGTCAACAGTAAAATAACAAAAGTATGGAGTCAACAGTAAAATAACAAAAGTATGAAGTCAACAGTAAAATAACAAAAGTATGGAGTCAACAGTAAAATAACAAAAGTGTGGAGTCAACAGTAAAAGAACAAAGTATGGAATCATGAGCAAAATAACAAACGTAGGGAGTCAAGCGTGAAATAAGTAAGACATGAACTCATTTATATGTAAACGTTCAGGAATCTGCGCGCAAATTAACAGAGGCAGAATTTTGGAAGGAGAAAAGAGGAGCGAGTTTTTGTATGCGAAGTAAGAAGAGAATAGCAGTATTGGGTGTTTTGGTGTGTTATAAATCAAGTAGAACTCAATGTGTTAAATAACAAGAAGAAAAAGAGGGAAATATTACGCTGGGGCTGATATTTTAAATTCATCATTCGATTTCTATGTTGTTTTATTAGCGCAGAGCAACACAATAGTCTAATTGTATTGCGAAAATTTACCTTTTCAATATAAGGCCAACCAGGCATGATGGTGATCTAGGAGTAGGTTTGCAGAGTCGTTGATCCTGAATCTGGAATCAAAGTTTGAATGTCTGGCCTCCCCTGGGATCTCTGGGCCGCCATGTTTGAAATCGTGTTTATGCCCCCCTCCCCACTTATAAGCTAGCGAGACCAAAACTAGTCCACATACTTAGATACCACGGTTGCGGGTCCTCATGGGACTTGTTTTCGGGGACGGATCCCTCCTCAGAAAGCTATAAAAGTACTGAGGATAATGGAGGTACTTTATCGGTACGTTGTGGCCTCTGTGAATCATAAGAGGGCCTTTAGATCCCGTCCATGTTTAATGAGGGTAAACATAATACACGTTTAGGTTTCATTTACTTCGCTGGCTGTTTGTCCACCTATGTGGCATTAGCAACTGGTGCTGAAACTGACTAAACGTTATTATTATTATTCTAGAATTCTACTCTGTATGATTTGTGTAAGACACACACGACAAGATATGGGATGAACGTAAGTCCAAGTTGTAGCAGTTTTCTTTAACTACTACGCTATTTACATCCATCTGATTTCTTCATTCATTTAACATTTACTTTTCAGATGAATTCTAAGTTTGTATACGCGATAGGACTGTGTATCACCTAAACGTCATTATCTACTTTAGTATTTACATATAAATCCAATAACAATGCTTTTTAATTACGTCTAACACAGTGGTGATGTCTTTCAGTACTTTACTAAACTATCTAAGTCAGAACACGAAAATACGTGCTATATTTTTCTAGCCCTTTTAAAATTTACTTGTTAATGTTATCAATTTTAGCCTTTGGTCGCGTGGTGAAAGTTAGCAAAAAGAAATACATTGATAACTAAAAGATACCGATATATATATAGTGGTAGAAATGAATGTTAAACTCAGTGAAAACATGAAAACAATTACTTGAACTGAGAGGTAGGGATAGTTTGTTTGTTTGTTTTGAATTTCGCGCAAAGCTACACGAGGGCTATCTGCGCTAGCCGTCTCTAATTTAGCAGTGTAAGACTAGAGGGAAGGCAGCTAGTCATCACCACCCACCGACAACTCTTGGGCTACTCTTTTACCAACGAATAGTGGGATTGACCGTCACATTATAACGCCCCCACGGCTGAAAGGGCAAGCATATTTGGTGGGAGGGGGATTCGAACCCGTAACCCTCAGATTGTGAGTCGAGTGCCCTAACCGAGCACGATCGGTGTAGGATTCCGATATCGCGACCCACAGATTGCGAGTAGAGCAATATATCCATGCCAGGCGTTACAAATAAAGAAATATCAACTTTTAAACAGAAAGATGGAACAAGGATGGAGAGATAGAAATAAGTAAAAATAAATATTGTGATGAATTAGTTCATTATATTGTGGTCTTTCCTCTTAAAAAACGAAACACACGGTGTACTTACTAAATAGTATATTTACAAATAAGAAATAAGAAGATAAAACAAATATGTGAAACGTCATCAAATGAAATGTTTTGAACAGTTAAATCTATTCTCTAATATATATCATCTTTAAGTTCACTGTTTATATGTGTTTGAGTATATTTTACATGCTCACTGTTTATATGTGTTTGAGTATATTTTACATGCTCACTGTTTATATGTGTTTGAGTATATTTTACATGCATTATATTTTAGAAATTTGTGACTTACGAGATGGACCTACAGGGAATGGAGACCGAGTCACCTAGACGATAGACTAGTATTAAACAATACAGTATGTATGCATGTGTGTGTGTGTATTATATATTGTTACGACAGCGAAAGTCACGTGACTCTGGTAACACGTGATGAGTTTCTAGAAGGATCGGGGAACATCACGAATAATCATGTATTTGCTAGACGCCCTCTATTCCTGTATATAAGCGCGCCAGACAAAGCGAGACAATTAATCGGAACTTAATTGCAGACAGGCAGAGACAAAGACGGACAATTGAGTCAAGCGCGTAAGTAAATTGCGTGAATCGTTGTGAATTATAGCGTGTGTTTAAGTTAAAGTGACTGTGGAAATTAGGTGCATTGCAAAGTTGTATTAGAAAGAATAAACTAGTTTTATTTAAGAAAGGACTTGTATCGCTAAAGTTTCATCCGAAATAAATTATACGAGAAATTAACAAACGACCAGAGACGTAACAATATATATACTAGACCACCCGTGACCCGTTGGGTCACCCACTATTCAGAGGTTATGAATAATTGAATCTAATTTCAATATTGCACCGAAATGAAGGTTTATTGTGAGATAATTTAAATAAATATTTCAATCCATTCGTGTTATTCATGATTCAAGAAAAGATATTTGATTGTTGATTGGGAGTAAAAAGAAAGACCATTTCAATTTTTAAAAAAAGTGAAGTCAGAGTTTTCAGGTTTATTTGTCCCCCGGTGGGACAGCGGTAAGTCTACGGATTTCCAACGCTAAAATCAGGAGTTCGATTCCCTTCGATGTGAATTTGCTATAAAACAAACATATACACTCCCTTTATTTTCACATGGGGAGTAATTTCACCGTAAAGAACTCAACACATAATTTCTCATTTG